CATCAAAACGCCTGCCATTTGATATAAATAAATAAATGAACAAGCCAACTAGTATAAGTCTTTGTTTTTTGGCAAGACGACATAAAGTACATTTGTCCACAAAACAGGATTCAAGGTTAACGTCATCAAATACCGAAAGCCCATATTATCAGCCCAAAGAGTAACAAAACAGAACTCAATCACTGAAAAAATCTACATTTCTCATTGAATATTAAGTAACTGCTCAAATGAGATTGACACATATTCCTGAAAGACCTTACTATATATACTAAAGGGGTGAATATTAAAGAAAAGCTGGAATTATGTGGAAAATTGATAGTTTGACTCAAAATATCAATTAATTGTTGTCGACCGTTGAATAAGTTAACAGATTTAAGCCGATTGAATAAAAGAAGCGTCATAAGAAAATTGTATGCGATTCTCAGCGAAAGATAAAAAATGATTTGAAGTGTCGGAGAGCCTAATTGAACACAACTGGGCCACCAAACTTAAGAATCAATTGTGAAATTCTTTAAAAAGGCTTGAGCAAGCGGGGAAAGAAGTGAGAGCCCGAAAATATGCATCGTCTTCGTGATTTGAGGTAGCTAAGTTAATCCGTGGAACCAATAAAAAAATAGGAGATTTGATTTACTGTAAAAGGGCTTCAGCCGAATTGCTGATAAAATATGTGGACATGCAATGCTAATAGATCTACATTGCTATATATGGGGTGTGCGATAGACTTACCTCCACGTGGTGCACCCTGGGCAAAGTATACTCATACGGCAAAAAAAGTCTATTAACCAGCAGTTGACTTCTGATTTCAAACTACCATCACCACACTGTATGTCATATTCGAATACTTCCACAGTACTAACCTCACCTTTTCTCTACCTTCGTCTTTGAAACACTCTTCTGCCCCCCCCCCCCCCACCCTCTCGACTTTTTTTCACTTTGATGTTCCTTCCCCTCTGTGAAGCCTGAAGTCAACTAAAGGGCTAATGATAACCATCGAAACGCCTGTCATTTGATGTAAATAAACATTGCTATATATATTTTCAACGAGTGTCAAAGATGAGAATGGGCATCTGGGTTCCAATTGGAAAAAGATTGGACTAATGAACTAATCAGTCTGTTAAGTCTTGAAACCATCCACAGATACCAGCGTCGTTTAAATTCAGCAACCTACTGACGATGAAATATCCTCCTTCCTTCTGAAACGTTTGTGCAAAGTTTCTAATAGGATACATCATGTTCCATATTGAGCACTCCTACTAATCACCTGGGATTTTCCCGCATTAGACTTTTGTATTAACTTCCAGTATTCATGCCTCCATTTTACTTGTTTAATACTGAATTCTATCAGTTATTAGAATGTGACATGTTCAGGTTTATTCTTCCGACTCCTCATAAGCCAAATATCTCAAAACTATAGACATTGGAAGCTGTTGTGAAAAAGTACCCCAACCATTTATTCTGAGAAGAAAAAGGAATTAAAGGAAGAAGTGTCATACTTCGTGTCCACGCAAGGCAAGTCTGTCACGTGTTTCAAGGAGAGCACGTCGTACAGCTGGAACTGGCACAAGATCATCGAACTGTAAAAAGTAGCCAATCCGGAGGTGATGACCATCTGAAATCTACCAACGGGAAATCAGCATGATGTATCATGAGATAACGCCAAGTAGATGTAAAAATTTTACAGTGCTTGAGAGAAAGTGACCTTCCTACCTGCTTATAAAGGAGAGGTGGTGTGTAGGGATCGAGTGTGTGTGAAAGAGGCGAATTGACGATCAACTCCATGACAAATTTACAGGAGTTGGCATCACGACAAATTGGACCCCAGCATGGCACAACTAAAACACATTGAAGTTCTATTTGCAGATCAATTAATGGAATATGGGTAAAAGATTGCCATCAATAGGTAGGTGCAGTGGGAAAGAAACCACGTAGAATACTAGCTGCCCGATAGATTCTGTAGGAATCGAAATATTCATTTAAAAGCATAAACATACTCAAGAATCCCTGAAATCAAACCAGTAATTACGAACAATACTCAGCTAACTTCATATTTCTTAGAAGAATGTGCACAAACAAACACTTTCAGAATATATATATATATATATATATATATATATATATAAACTACGGTACTAAATGCTCCAATTTCAATGATTACATCCATTCCATGCCCTAGTTCAAAGATATTTCTACCCTTTAAACTACTCGGCATTCCTTAATAGATTTCCTTTACCACAATATTAGGACTTAATTTAATAAACTTCAGCTTAGGTAATGTGGCCAAAAATCAAAATAATATTTACTGTGTATTAATTTGAGCAATGCATGAAATGAGCTAAGACGAGATCGAATTTTTTTCTGACGTCTTTAGTTCCAGGAATCTTTACACTTTGAAGTCTCTACACAAAGTAATCAGCTCGTTTCAACGTCATTTGAAAGTGAGCCTTCATTTGAATCAGCACTAATTGCATTTTCCCATAGAAAATGCCATCTTTTTTCGCAAAAAATTATCACTGTGATCCAACTAGACTCTAATATCCCATTGCAAGATCAATTCAGCTGACCATCTACTATACCCGTTTTGGCCCAACTAGTTCCACTCATGTGTGATGTCATGAATCCTAAACTGGGTATAATCCTCTGGATTCTGCCAAGGCTACTACTAATTAACAATTAAGCCAATAATTTGGTTCAAAAGATTTAAATCTGGCATTAGAAATTTAAATTATGCGCAAGAATCAGGATGACCTACAAATTTTGGTAACGCTGAATTCCATCCTCGATTTACTATGGGAGAATTGTGCACGAAAAAAAGCTGTAGAAATATGTAAGTTTCTTTGTTGTCAAGACAAAGAACTCGTTCTATGTAACGTCCAATTGTTATTGTGTTCGAGGTGGGTCGTTCATGGCAACATTAGTGGGGAGAAATGGTTGTCTTCAAATAAATCCAAACCATCCACAATCCATTGTGGAATAATCCACCACAAAGTACTAAACCGAGGGAAACACTTTGATGCAGAGTTTATCGCTGACACCAATTGGGAATATTTAATCAGAAATTAAAAAAACAAACGTCCAAGATTATTCAAAAGGTAAGGGAGAGCTCTTCACCAAGACAACGCCCAGGCTAAGACAAACAAATCAAGAACGATTTCCCATAGATTTTGGGAATTAAATTTGAAGGTTCAGCAGCATCCTCAAAATTCACCAATCTCCTCTGTCCCTTCCCATTTTGGCCTTTTCAGGCGAATGGATTAAACTCCAAAAGGCAAAAAAACAATTTTGAAATGAAAATGAAACAGTAAACCGACTGATTGAGTGCATTAATTTGAAAAGCTATTTCTTTTCAAAATGTGGATTGTCAGTCTACAAGTCTAATGAAAATGATGAGAGGAGTTATATTACATTAGCGTCATATGTATAATTTAAAGATAAAATAAATTACATATTAGCGCTGTTTTTAAAAAGTGTGATTTGTTATTCACACCCTGATATGTTCGTCTGATGTGTTCTATAGTTCACACAATCTTCTACGCAAACACAATGAGCTACAAAGTACAATGGGTGTCACTAATAGATCCTTCATGAACAAAACAGCATAGTTTACATATCCTGGTACTGCTTAAAATAAGCATCGCAACAGTGCATGATTGCAAAGATTAAACAAAATCATGAAGACAAAAGACCATACTATATCAAGTTTGGACTTACCTGGTTTGGCAGTGCCCATATTTGCCAAATCTCGATAACTAGAAGAGAAAAAAAATGGGTGAAACTAAATTTTGTGCAATTGATAGGTCAAACAGAGCTTTAGTCCCCCTTAGAGAACCCATTATCATTCACCCTCGTTCAACACAACAATAGCAAGTTCGACTAACCTGAGACGATCTGTCGTGGGTTTGAATCCGACCACTCCGCACATAGCAGACGGAAGACGGATACTCCCACCAAGGTCTGTACCAAATCCGAGAATAGATCCACCAGCTCCAATGAGAGCAGCTTCTCCACCACTTGAACCGTGGGGAGTACGATCGGCTCTCAGAGGATTCTTAGTTACACCATTGATCGGATTGCTGCATTGGGTGCTTAAGTAGGAATAAGGTGATAACAAAGCACATGGAGGTGTTAAAAATGGAAAATTAATAACCTGATACAAAACTGGAGGTGGATGTAAAAATTAGTACCGCACTCTAAGGTGTACATTAATATTGATTTTTGAATAGCTTATACCAAATAGCGGACACTTTCAAAAATTAATGGAAGAAATCTATTTAATTCAGAATAGTAGTAAGAAGTACAAGCACCAACGTCGAGTTCATTAAGGTCCGAGGTTTTAGCGACTGACGCATAGTAAGGAAGACTCCAGAGGCATCTAAATTGTAAGTGGAAAGAGTCCTGCTATTGCCTTGGAGGATGCACTTTGGCCATATTCTTCTTCAATACAGCTCATTAATATACTTATACTGCCTTCATCTGTTGCGAAAATATGGAATAATTCCCCATACAGTAGCGCCTTTACCTGGTCTAAGTCATTTTCCTATGCTACCAGACGGTCTCGTATAACTAAATAGACATGCATTAAGAGACGTCTGACAGGTAAAGCAATGTGCTGTGATTGGATGTCTGCCCATGAGAGACGGTGAGAGGAGGCGACCCTCTTCCTATAATAGTCAGTATCATGTAATTCAATTGCGCCCGACGTCTTCCGTGCTGATCGTCTAGCTTGGTTTACTTCCGATTGCTTAGTAGCATTGTACTTGGTGGTATATCTTTTCCCTATTCTCCATAAATAAATAAATAAATGAGCCTTCAATTTACATACTACTACCCGTGTTCGCTCAATCTCAATCAAAACACCTTAATGCATTCATACAGCCTCTCATCCATGCTTCCAGCTTTCATCCATAAATGTATTTCCAAAAACGCTTTTCTTATATTTTTCTGTGTAGCTCCCGTAGCTAAAGTTAATAGTTTGTTGCATATCTACTGGGTAAAATAAGGATAAAATAAAGCTATTCTCCTATAAAAAGTTACTTCCACACCTTGAAAATGACAACAAATGGAAGAAATACAATGCCACATTATCGATTTCATGCAATAGTGATGTCAGGTTCTGATATGATAAGATAAATCGACACTTATTAAATGGTCCGTTATCTGCACAAACAATTTCTCTCACGGTCAGAAAATGAAGTTCAGCAATTGGTTAAATTTTCTCCACTTAATCACAGTTCAACTAAATCCTATTTTTAATTGATAGACTCCAATTTTATTAAATAAATTTAAATTGTAACTTAAATGGTTAACTCTCGACGTAGTCCCTCTCTGGAAACAAGGCAACTGTAGCATAGTCTGCAATAGGGGTCCCAATTATATCTTAAAACAAATAATATTTTAAAATTAAAAACAGTAAATACTTTCTTAGGCTGTTTTACATTAATCAATTTAAGGAAATTTGCTTTGTAAATATGGGGTGTGCGATAGACTAACCTCCACGTGGTGGTGGTGGTACTCATACGGCAAATGTCTATAAACGGCAGTTGATTTATCACTTCAAATTACCATGACTCAACTGTATGTCATATTCAACCACTTTCGCAGTACTCACCTTACCTTTCTCTGCCTTTGAGACTGTCTGCCTCATTACATCTGTTAATCATTCTTCTGTTCCCTCTCTCAGTTTTTTCTCATTTTGATGCTCCTCTCATCTGTGAAGGCCGAAGTAAATTAAAGGCCTAATGATGACGATCAAAACGCCTGCCATTTGAAATACATAAATAAATATTTTAAAATCCAAAACGAGACTATCTACTTATTAATTATTAGTTCAAACTGAGGAAATATGTTTAAAAAGCCTTTATTAACTATTTTGAATTTTATTAACCAATCAAGGAAAACAAAAAAAGCAGTAGTCCCATAATGAAAGCTAATAGAAACTACCATCCTGTATACTGAAGAGGGAAAATTTTCACATTCAATGAACTAAATTTCTGCGCCCTTTACCAAACTATTCCTTCGCGGAAGAAAACTATTGTTAGAGATATACGCACACGGACAATTCTGTTTATTCTGCAAGGGAAGAGAGAAACTTGCCTCATCAACGTTTGTGGGACGTTGGTTATAACAAAAGGAACACCTCCAAGATCACGAATCACCTTCAAGGCCACTGCGTCGCAGTTACGTGATTTGTCGATATTTCGAGCACATCCAACACAAGAGTCGCGGCCCTTCGATAATAATAAAATGCAAAAAAGTACTTCCAACGTAATTAGGTTTATTGTCATGGTTTTAATCCCACTATGTAAGTTCTGAAAGGTCTAATATGAAAAGTAATGTTCGTTTATAATGAAAATGTTTAAACAAGTAATGTTCTTAGCGTTTTGAAGGACTTTAAAAATTATAAGTTAATATAAAAATAGATTTGGTGAAGGCCATGTAATAACATAGGCAAGAATAACTAATTCAACCGAAAGCAAGGTTTTCAATTAAGGAAATCAAAGAGAAAAAGATGAACTCACCTTCATTCCAAAAGATTCCTTAAGACTAACAGGACAACCTGCAAGAGGGCCCTTCAAATTAACCTCCGACAGCTAAAACAAACAATAAAATTCTTTCTTAGACAGAAATGACAGAACTAAATTCTTTAGTAAAGTCAAATAAAATCTGACATCAGGGTAAAGGAATTCGGTGACACAGTTTAGTCGCTTATCAACCTCAAAAGCCTTGAGCTGATACGCTAACAGAACGTATGCCACAGGAAGTTCTTGGCTTTTGAGTTTTCCAATCAACTCCTGGAGAGATAGATTTGTTATCATTTCTATATCTTCTCTGGACTATGAAGAGGAAAAAACTGCATTAAAAACAGGGAGAATTAATCTATATGTTTAAAAAATTAACGAACTATTTGACGTTGCTGCAAGTAAACTGCAAAATCCTCCTTTGCAGAATTAAGGTATGCAGTTTTAGCACTTCTGCATTCAGTCAAAGCTTTATTATTAATATAGTTTCTGAAAGCATTTTTAGCAAAATATAGGGAAACAGCACAGGCAGAAGCTGTAAGTAACTAAAAACGAAAACATACTTTAACTGTTGTTAAACTGCACGAAATGTGCGTTAATAAAAATAAATACCCTTCCACTGCGAGCGTCAAAGTCGAACAACATCCCAGGATAATCGAAAAGCGAACGAGTCCTTCCCAGAACTTGTCAAGGCCATTAGATAATAAAAAGATTTACAAATCTATAAAATGAGCATACACCCACTTAAAACCAGAAAGGTAAATCAAAATGAAATAAATTTAATATGAAAGAGTAGAAAATAATAACAAGCATTATTTAAACAGTATTCGGAAGTTAAAATGTCCGAGATTGGTAACAGAAAGAAGGATGTGACATATTTCCTTATGCCACGATTTTTTGTTTTCTCTTTAAATTTTATCATGTAATTAATATGCGGTTAAGTGATACGTATATTTAATGAGAAATAGTCCTAATTAAACGTACCCATTTTCGCAAAATCCTGTGCTAAGTATGGTAATTTAACAGTCGATAAGTTTTGTTTAAAATCTTTAAAGAATATTGTTCAATTTAAAGATTAATATTTATTAGATTCATGAAATTAAAAGCAGAATTTCACAAATGAGGGCATTTTTTTCTAAATCTATGAAGATTCAGTATCAATATGCATGCACTAGTCGAATAACGCAGTTTAATTAATTACTTAACAATCGGAATTTAATAGTTTAAAGATAATCTTTATTGCTCACTATTAAGTTACTTATGACATAATGATATTAGAATTATTTACTCAAAGCATTTAACGACTAAAAAGTACAATTGCAGATTGGTATTGGCTAAATTAATGGTTGAATATAAGAAAATCGTGCTCATTGAAAAGCAATACCCGTTTTATTACAATATATTAATTAGAAACCACATGATTTCTTTTGAATGACTAAGATGATAAAACCTGTAAAACGACGATATACATTTAAAATAATTAATAGTGACTAATTTGAATAATAATCCTCTCAGTCGCAATTTAAATAAATATAATCTTACGGAATTTTACCGAATGTCATCTCTAATATCAAAATTAACTTTAGCTTAATTTATAATATCAATAAAACAAAGACAAAATAGCAAATATTCACGATGACTAAAAAAATATTTATAATGAAATTTAATCATATTTAATTATAATAGTATTTCTAAATAACAACGCGAATTACTTCAAGGTTAATAAAACTTTGCCAGCTATTAGCAGTTGGAAATGAGCGTTCTTTCCGTGTATGTCGTAAGTGAATCTGGCTCCCTTCAAATGTACTATGATCGGTCTAATCCTCCCGTAGAAATAGTGGAAACGTATAATTTCCCATTATCATTTGTGTTTGAAAATGTTGACGGTCGTATTTCTGTTGTTTTTGGTGCAACGAATGAAGTAAAGTTGGGCTATTGCGTTTTAGCTGTTAATGGTGTAAATGCAAACGGTACAGTATTGGAAGATAATAGAGATATTTTAGAGGTAATTTCCAAATTTTTAATTGTATTTTTTCTAGCTATTTAAAAATCCTGCAAATTTTCCCATTACTCTTCGTTTGGGATCACCACGATTGAGTCCAAATGATCGGATTACGATCGCTAGCATGTTTCAAGCTATTCACCACATGGCTCGAGTTATAACCCCTACTCCAGCAAATTCCGAATCAGGACATTCTAAATCTCAAGTTGCCACGGAACCCTCTGGGATTCAAACTATTGAAACTCCAGAAACTCGAATTCACTGCTATGAATCGATTACTGGTACGAAGTTTATCCTTGTAACGGATTCAAAAATACCAAGCACTGCTCGTGATGCCTTAAAGTTAGTCTACGAAGCCTACACAGACTATGTCCTTAAGAACCCCTTCTATTCTCCCAATCAACCTTTTAATTTTGAATTCTTTAACTCTCGTCTTAAGAAAATTTGTGATCAAGTTGAGAATGGCATTTATAACTATGTATAATTACTCTTAACTTTTATTTTCAGCTGTGATAAAGGTTTTTTTGTATTTCTTTTTGAACTTCTTTCTATTTGGCGGTCCTAGATTTTTTCCACATTTTTTGCTTACAGTCTTTAAGAAACGAAGATTCAGAAAATAATGTACCACCATTATTGAAATTTGGGTCGTTTTGACTATTTCAGGAGAGTTATCTGCAGATCTCTTTCATTTGAATTTCAGGTGAATGTAGATTGTCCAATTTCTTCGTCGGAAAATTGCGTTGAAAATGTGTTTTCGAGAATATTATGCCACTTAATGTGCTTGTTGTAGATCGCGGCATTGCATTTGAAAGCATTGCCATGCCGTGAGTGAGAAAAGATTTAATTTTCTTATACTTTTCATACTTATGGATGCATACTTTGCACAAATCGCATATCAGAATTGATTTTCAATTCAGCGTGTTAAGCTTGTGATGGATGCTACATTATTGCAAAGGTGGAAATATGACCACAAAGAAACGAACCATTTTCCTAGGACACGTCAGGTCTTTTTGCACAATTTACGTGTAGGTTTATCGAAAAGCCCATAAGTTATTTGGGTGAACCAAAATAGACTGGGATTGGCGATGGCCATTAGTTCGAATGGAATTGAATAGTCCTCACGCTCTGACAGCGAGATTTCATTTTTGAACCTTTCCTGGTTGGGTCATCGACCTGATGGTGCTGAGGATTGAGAGAGATGGGCTAAGATTACTATCGCAATCCTACCACCACACAAAGCTGATCAGTGGTTTGAACGCCTTCTACCTATGCAAATCAGTAGTGGATTCTGTTGGCATTGAGCGAAGGTCTCAAAACGACAACGAGATCTCGTGTTCGTCCTTCTCGCGGATGGGCCGAAGTTGAAATGTCCTCGTCCTTCTTCCTGCATATATGCATCGGTTGCTGACGGCGCCAACAATCGTTAGTTTTGGTTACATCGAAAAAATAATACAAGGCAGCAATAATGTCACCAGGGGAGGGGGGTGGGGGCGGCCGTGGCATTTGTAGTGTAGGGAGGAAGTGTGGTCGTGAGCTGAGAGGCCTCTCAGGCAGCCGCCAATGAACGGTACTTGCATTGCTTGGCCAACACGTTATTGTACCCCAATGAACGAGTACTGAGACATACACAGAGGAAATGAATCAATTCTACGTCAAATGCCTGTTTCTTTTGCGATAGCTGAGTTAATCCTAGGAAGCGTTCCACACAATGGGTAGATAAAGAGGTAGGGGTGGGGGATGGAACTGAAGATAATGGCGCAACAGCAAACAATAAAACCATTAGATTTTAATCTGATCGTTACACGAGAGCATAAAAATAATAACTATTAAAAAAATTTCAGTAATACTAAAGTCTAAATAAATTTATATGCATTTGCCAGTGTGATGATAAATGTCGTCAGCGAAATGGTCATGGGGTTTGAAAGATGAAAGAGACAGGGAAGTTTACAAAATCGGGGTTAAAAGGCAAAATAGAAACACTGCAGCGACATTGATCCCATAAGAAGGGCACTCTCAAACCATTTCAATAAATGAAGGTTAAATGTCGGATCGCAAGGCAGGCGGAGAAATCGATATTAGAAGTAACGAAGTAGCCCAGCCCCTAAGCCGACACATGCACATATCACACGTATTCAATGTGCATCGTAGTCCCACCCACCAATGTTGGCGACAACAGCTACTGATGCACCTAGGTAGAGAGGAGGAGGAGAAGGAAGAGGAAGACGTTCCAACTTCGACACATCCTCGAGAGTGACAAACACGAAATCTCGTCGTCACGCTGAGAGCTTTACTTAATCCCACTCTAACTAATGACCCCCCACTTATTGTTGTACAGTTTGATCTCCCCAAATAATTTGTTTCTTCAGAGAGTGCCTAAGGTGGGGATGGGTTCCTTCTTTCCTATTACCAAACCAGTTTGCATTTAACGAACCCCAATTCAAATTCGCAAATCCCTCTTGCTCTTTTATTTCCAATGACATTGAGCACAACACAGACACAAGGACATTTGGAGTCTACACTGCACGTAGAGAACGTCATCCTCTACCCCACACGATACCGATTCCTTGCCCTCTTGGCCCCGATGTTAACTCCCCTCTGTGGCCAACTAGGCTCCAATAAGGCAGGCACATAGGCACACACAATTAGTGGACCCCTCAAATGGTATTCTCTCGATGATCTGGTGTCTTTCAATGAGCGTTTAGTGCGGGTCACAAGGCAGGCGACAATCATCTGAACTGTCAAACTCCGTTATTTCTAGAAGTGAAATCTTATTGATTGTTATTATTTTTACGCTCCTACACATCGACAGGTTTAAATTATTATTGCTTTATTGCTTGCTGTTACTCCCTTATCTATAGTTCTATTCCTCTACCCCCTCCTCTTAATCTCCTCATAGTTTGGAATATCTAGCGTAAAACCATTGGAGAAAGAGCCTCTTGATATCTTTTTATTTGAATATGGTATACTACGATGCATTGGACGAAGCCAGACAAGAATTACTGTCTTGTGCAACTTGGTATCTATTAAGGTTCACTGAAAAATTTGCGCCGTTCCTTTGCGATAGCTGAGTTAATCCTGGGAAACCTTCCACACAATGGGTAGATAAAGAGGTTGGGGTGGGTGGGGTGGGTGGGGTGGGGGATAGAACTGAAGATAATGACGCAACAGCAAACAATAAAACAATTTGATTTTAAACCTAT